TTGAGAGAGTACGAAACGTTTTCTGGTTCGCTGTTCTTGCTGTTAGAGTGCTTCTACACCGCAAGTGAAAGATTGTTGTATCTTGGGAGGCGATTGGCGTCAACTGTAAGCACCGTAGCAGGCCAAAATCGTCTTAAGGAAATAGAGTCGAACTCTAGCCTCAATCTACTGTTTTCTGCAATTTTGTTTAGCGTTTATTCGGTTTGCCATTTCCTTCTCTTCGCCTTTTATTTCTGTTATATAAGTCGCATGCTATATAATTGTTTATAACAAAATGTATACGTACATCTATGTAACTAAATGATTAAATAAATTAAATATATATTTTTAAATTTCAATATTTCAATTTTTTCTAATATTTACGAAAGGATGCAAAACAAATTCATTCTATTCAAGCTTTCTCTACAATCTTCTAATATTCTCATCATCTCTTTAGCAGTATAATTTTGTAACTATTACACACTTCATTCATTTCTTCAATTCATACTTTCTTTGTGCCAACATTCTTTAATATTATATCTCTGTTCATTTATTTACAATTATTTATTCAATTCCAAATTACTATTAGCTGTGTTAATTTTACATTTTATAGAAATCATAAACTCCGATGATGATTTATACAATTTCTCAGTAGTTTCAATGCTCTCACATATGAGTTTTCTCAAGCATGCGACCCTTCAACTATAGAAAATGTAGGTACAATGGAACCGATCACCATGTACCTGATGAAGAGTTAGAAGAAGCAAGCTCTAACATGAGACAAAAGAATTAAAAGTTCGTGAGCCAACTTCCCAATATCGGAATCACTTCACGAAGACAATTGAGAATAAGAAGCCCATTTGGAAAGCTTATTGTGATTATGGTGGAAATGAATTCACTTGGAAACCAAAAATTGGCACAAGCCAATACAACAAACTTAATGAAAAATGTCTTGCTCGTGTTGGGGCTATCGACATTAGTCATAGTTAAAATAGTCGGCTACCAAGAAACAGATTTTATGCTAGCACTAGACATCCTAATTTTCAGGAAAAGAATCTCATCTTGTTTGCCAGCTAAGACAGGTTGTTAGTCTTGTTGGTAGCACAATTCTAGAACCTTCTTTACTGTTGTAATTTTGTATATAAACCGTGTAATCACCAGAGAAGAAGTAAGTAGAATTCTGTATTTTCTCAGCTCAAAATTTATCTTGGTATCAGAGCCAACAATGGTTAACACTGGATCCGGCAATCAGTCTGAGTTTAACACTGCTCCAGCAATTAATCAGGCAACTGCTGGCCAGCATTTGTCCATTGGAATGAATATCACTCAGACGTCGGCAGTCAAGCTCGATAGGAATAATTTTCTATTGTGGAAACATATGATAATGCCCATTATAAAAGGGCATAACCTTGAAGGATACCTACTGGGGACAAAGATGTGTCCACCAGAATTCTTGGCTACTCAAACAGCTGTTGGACAAGGAGAAACAATTGAAATGACACAGAATCCTGAGTTTGTGAGGTGGATCTCAGCTGATCAACTTTTAATGGGTTGGCTATATTCTTCTATGACCCCGGAAATAGCCATGAAGGTTATGGGTTGCACCCGTTCGAGCAAGCTCTGGTTAGCAGTAGAGGAGAGCTTGGGCATATTGAACAAGTCACGAGTTATGTTTCTCACAGGTGAATTGCAAAGAACTAGGAAAGGGTCTATGACAATGGACCAATACTTGACTACCATTAAGCAATTATTTGATAACTTGGAGATAGCAGGGAAAGCTATTGATCAAAGTGACCTGATTACTCAAGTTTTATCAGGTTTGGAGGAAGAATACACACCCATTGTGGTGCAGATAAACAGCAGGGAAACTATATCCTGGCATGAGTTATCTTCAGTTCTGATGACCTTTGA